TCAAGGTGAGGAAATGTCAGACAACTTACTTTCTCGTTAAAGCTTCTAGAATAGTTTCTTGCTTCTCGTGGGTATCACTTACTCCCAGGTACAGCATCTTGTCAAATCTTCCTGGTCTCAACAAGGCTGCATCGAGAAGATCCGGTCGATTTGTTGCACCAATAACAAAGACGCCTCCACCACCGTCGTCTCCGTCCGACATTCCATCTAGCTCGGCCAACAATTGTGATACAATGCGGTCCATCACTCCACCACTGTCTCCTTGGTTACCCCTTTTAGGTGCCACAGAATCAAGCTCGTCGAAGAAAACAACACAGGGTCGTGCATCACGTGCACGCTGGAAGACTCGCCGAACATTGGCCTCAGATTCACCAATGTACATGTTCAATAATTCTGGTCCCTTAACACTGAAGAAATTGAGACTGAATTCCGTGGCGATGGCCTTTGCCAGTAAGGTCTTTCCGGTTCCAGGAGGACCGTAGAACAAAATACCAGATCGTTTCTTCATGCCTTTTGCGAATAGTTCAGGTCGCTCAAGAGGCAATTGAATGGTTTCCATTACTGCTTCCTTGACATTCGACAAGCCACCAACATCATCCCAACCGACGTTTGGAATCTTGGGTGCACCAATTGCATCAGCGAAATTCTTCCTTGCAAAATCTACTGCAACATCAAAATCGACTTTGGTAAGGCAACGACCTGCTGGCCCAGCAGAAAGCAAGATATCGCGAACTGTAACAATATTTTCAGAGGTGGTAGATGCAGCTGCGAGTGCTTCTATGCGAGAGTTACGCGCTACGAGAGCTCGATCCACAACATCATGTAAGTCGCCAGCTACAAGGGCAGCAGTCTTTACAGCGACGGAGCTGAAATCTACATCTGGTGCTAGAGAAATCGCTTGGTCTTCAATAATAGCACGAAGTATTCCCTCCCGCTCCCACTCATCGGGAGCAGTCATTTCGAGCTCGTGAGTGAACAAACCCCGGATACCGTCTGGAATCTTGTCTACCTCGGTTGTAGTCGCAATAACAACTCTCGTTCCACTTTGAATATCTTTCAATGTAGTGACCATTCTATCAGCAGTCAGACATTCAATGTGACGTATGAGGAGTGCGCAGAATGCGGGACCACAATTCATAGCTCTTTCAGCGCGTGCCTCGAGAAAACCGGCAGTCTTGACATCACTTCCACCTCCACTTTCATTGATAACATCTTTAGCATCAAGCTTAAAAGTATGTAAGCCAATATCTGCGCAAGCATTGGCTGCTAATGTTGCTTTTCCAATGCTACGTTGCGTGGAGACAAGAAGAATTGCAAGCGGTGGTAGGTTCAGGTGTATTGCTCTAGGGCTTGTAGCTGCGGCGATTAATTCTCTCAAACGCCGTTGTAAAGTTGTGACATGTGGCTTCCTGACCTCCGGTATTGCGCTGGATTCAAGATCAGTCTTGGAAAGTGACTTCAGCCCAAGATAATATTCCCAAGAATTCTCCATAGTTGCAGGTAATCGACTATTCTCACTGCCCGACTGCATCATACGTGTATTTGACGCGTCAATTGAGGCAACACCACCCCAGATACCGTCTTCGTCATTGGTCTCTGAACTCTCCTTCGTCAAACCGACATAGCTTATTCTGTACCAAGCCGCAGCAGTAGTTTTGGCCGATTTAGTGGGTTCTGCCTCAGCCAATGATGCATGCGAAAACATTTCATCGATTTCAGGGTCTTCACCAGTAGAAGATTGTAAAGTTCGACCAAGACCTTGATCAATTGGAACAGCAATGAGATCACCCTTTCTTACGATTCTCCTCTTCTGTGAGAAATACTTCTTCAGCCCAGCAAATAGAGCATTTTGCAAAGTACGCTCATTTGAAGCAGGGGTTGAAATCTTCATGAGAGTTAAATCTTTTGCTGTGGGGGGATTCCAAAAGCTATTGATCTTAGCTAATGGCGCCTTCAATATTTGTGGCGCTCTTTTCAGAGGTGCAATGCGACAGTATGATGTGTTTTCCATGTTTGCAAGAAGTAGAGGTGACATATAAGCCAGTGGGCTTGCTGGTTTTTGCACCTGTGATTCAAAGAAGGACAATCTTCGGCCCTCTTGTTTGCTACGTGGTATTTTGGTCATCGGGCGATGTGAATAGCTTTCGGGTAGACCAAAAACCTTCACAGGTCGCCAGGGCTTCTCTTCCTCAACATCGCCAAAGCTTCCCAGTCCCCAAAGCCCAACGCCATTGGCAGGTGGTTCTGCAGCTGCTTCTAACCGCACCCAGTCTCCTGAGAAACATCCGATTTTAGTTAGAGAATTGATATCAACGAATATTCTTGCCTCCTCATCATCATCAGTATTAGGCTTTGGGTGCAGCATTTCATCAGAGAGTGGTCTTGCTAGTCCTTGCGTTTTAAACAATCTTCCGCTTTGTCCGCCTGCACGAGTAGTAGCAGTAAAAGAAGAGAATACGGAGCCCGGGGTAGCAATACCGTTTGTCCTTCGTCCACCTGGAATAATTGTCTGTGGAGATCCAGGCTGTATCGTCGAAATTCCGCTGGCGTTATGAGATGGTAATACGGGTACTTGGAGCGAGATCATATCCTCCATGGAGTCGTCCGAAAGACTGTCATTGTCGGCACTACTTTCCATCTCGGTGTCTGTTTCTGTGACATAATCAGATTCTCCTTCAAAAGCAGTATCGGTCTTGTATCTGTCCTCCGCAGCGGAATAGAATTGGTCATTACTTGTATCCTCATCTTCTTCCGTCACTTGGTTCAATCCTCCATTTAATGGAATAGCTGCGTGTTTCGGTGGAGTTTTCGCATGGTGCCCAGTCTGAGTAACGATGATCCTGGTTTTTGGTGATAGCAGTCCTTGTCCTACAGGCTCACTAAGAGTAACTTTTGCTGGAGGGGGAGGGACGTGGGTGATTGGATGAGGTTGCAAAGGTAATTGAACATAATCTCCCGTATGCACAACTCTCAGCGATCTTAAAGCTTCTCGAATTGCCTTGGTCAGTTTATCCTCGGGGCTTGTTCCATTTCTCAGTGACTTTGTATGTCCATTCGCCTGCGGATGTTCTTCGTGAAATGTCCCTTCTCCATTCTCCAGTCTCTTCGCAGATTCCCCCTCGATCGTAACAAACACTGTCTCTAAGGGTAAAGGTACTATGTCCAGGACGCGTATTTCAATGCCGCTTCGACTGTTGCTCGATAATTTAGAAGGCGCGACCCTCTGCAAAGTTTCCGCAAATGCTTGTAAAGTCGGGTTTTCGGGTGAGAATTGCACAGTGGAAGTTGCCAAGTTGTTCGAGGACCGAACAGGAACAACAGTCCACGTCGAGTCTTCGACTGCTGTTGAGGGGCTACAAGGAGAGATCGCAATGTAATGAACTGTATCGTCAGGTACACCGCTCTGTTCGAGACACAGATCTTTTGCCAAATCCCCAGAAATGACTCCAATATCCCCTTTCACATACTCATCCAGAATCAATCGCGCAGAGATAGCCGGTTTATTCTGATGTCTTCTCTTCCGTTTCTTGTTCTTCAATGGGAGCCCCATTGCACTGTTTGAAGAGCTAGTTGCGATTGACATCCTAAATCAAATATTTCGTGAATTCGTAAATGTTGCGGTATGGGGTAGGTAGCATTTGCTGATAGCTACTTTTATTAGTTGTCGAATTTGACAACTGGCTCTCTCCCTTCTTTCAGTTCTCTCTACTTTGCTTAACAATATGCTTTGAATCGAATAATTAAATAAAATTAAAATCTACAATAGTCCTCAGTTCTTGTTCACTTGAGAAGCAATCTATACCGATCAATTCTGGGGCCGAGGCTTTTGGGCAAGAATCACGCTAACGCTCAATAAAGTTAGCTCGCCCATTCTCGGAACGGAATATATCAACTGATGCTCGATCAACCTTGCATATAGATATCTCTAGTAGGCACGGTAGGTACACACTGGTACACACTATCATCATTCAAGTCCGATGTCCTATTGTCTATCACCTTGATTATTTGAGGAGATCCATATATCAATAAAGATTTCCTGAATGTTCGTTTGCGTAGCAAAAGCCACTCTCCATACACAACGAAACAATTCATATTACTATTCTTGTACCAGTACTTACTGTTGGAGCAAGTCTCACAACGGTTTTCCACACCTAAATATATATCCAATTTGTCCTCGATTCACATCAGAAAGAAGGAATAATATCGTCACAATCTGAGTTTAATCATAGCGAAATTCCAGCTACTTCTCTTGATGACACGATATGAACCGGATATTTGCCTTGAACCGAAAGCTTATAGTCTTTCCCCTAAACTTGTCCAAAAATATTAGCCCATGTGATACATCCCTCGCCTGAACCACTGAGCGAAAGCTAGGCCTCAGATTCTCTCAAACATGTGCCTTTGAACTCTTTTGATAATCTTGAAAGACTCAGACATTCGAGCATATTTCAAATTGGTGACAAATGGGCAATTCAAGAGAGGACTTGTACGAGATTTTTTTTTGGTACCTGAAGAGTATCCCAATAGACGTGATCAGGAAAACACCTAGTAGCGCCGCAACCTACTCAGTGAAGTTACCTGTATAACAAAGATGTGGTTGCGCCATTCTGTATGAAAAATAGATTATTTTGAGAAAGTAGAAGACCCAATATTTACTCCTTAATCCTATATTCCTTGGGCAGACGACGGGTTGTTCTTCTCCGATCTATCAAAATGTGAGAGATGCAGTATGGAAAGCACTTTCGTCTTCCCTCTCATCTAGGATGATCTCATCTTTGACCAGATTCCTACCTCCTTCATCGATCTAATGAGCATCCTTCTTCAAATAGTAGGTATTATCATAAAGCTAGACCAGTGCTCTGTTATCTTCAAATAAATCCCGAAATGTCGAAATTACATCTCTTCATCATCTCTCGGAGAACCTTTTCATGAACAGAGCTAAACATCCAGTATGTGTCTGTGATTATGCCGAGGAAGATGTAGAAGAGAGAAGAGAGAAGCGGAACGGTAATCCTTCATTGAATTTCTGGCTTTCATTATTTTCATTTTGACATTTTTCGTCAAACTTTCTTCTCTAGCTAATCTGGATGTCGCCTACCTTAGACCAGCTCAGCTGCAAGCCATCTATCTATCCTGTATTCACAGGTATCCCGGGCGTTGAATATATGAAGATGAATACATGTTGAAAATAGTATCTGCCTACATCTCATATGTATGGCCAGCACCTAAGTACCATAATCCTTCTCTCCGATTTTTCGCTTCTTGTTTGCAACTTCAATAGTGCCCTTTCCTTTCTTCTCCAGAACAACCTTCATAATCTCCTCCAACTTATCTACCGCCTCATTTCCAATCTGATAATGCACCACCAATCGACCACCATAAAGTTTCAAGCCTTTCTCCTTTCCCAATTCTTGGAATTCTTCCGCCGAAACACCTGCATCTGCCAAATCCAGCCACACCATGTTAGTTTCGGTTGGTTGCTGCAACTTTCCGCCTAAGCCTTCCCACAAGGTCGCGATTCTTTTGGCTGTCTTATGACTTTCGCGCAAGAGACCCCCTTCACCATTTGGACCCTTTCCAAATGTTTCATCGACCGCAACTCTCGCAGCCGCGGTCAAAACACCAGCTTGACGGAGTCCTCCTCCAATACTTTTTCGAACCCATCTAGCATGCTTGATGAAATCTTTCTTGCCCACTAACATACTTCCGACCGGTGCGCCTAATCCCTTGCTAAAACATAAGCTAACACTATCACATTCCTTCGTGAAATCTGTTAGAGATCCCGCTCCAGCAACAACAGCTTCCCAAATTCTAGCTCCGTCCATATGTAATTTGATGCCATGCTTCCTGGCAAATCCTGAAATCGCCCTAACCTCCTCGAGTGGCATGATTGTTCCACCCAATGTATTCTCCAAACTAATCACCCTTGTCGGACATGAGTGTATGTCATCACTAATAGTAACAGATTTCTCTATATCATTTAACGTCAAGTAAACGCCATTGCTAGGCACTACTCCCTTCACAAGAGCCCCGCACAAAGATGCAGTACCACCGGCTTCCCACTCGAGAATGTGGGCTCGATGGTCACAGAGTACAGAGTAGGGAGGTTGAACAAGATGAGAACGGAGAGCAATTTGGTTGCCCATGGTACCGGAGAGAACAAAGATGGCAGCTTCATGCTCAGTAATTTCTGCAAGATAAGATTCAAGCGAATTGGTTGTTGGGTCTTCAGCAAAGACATCATCAAAGAGGGTAGTATTTTGAATGGCTGTAAGCATGGATTTGGTTGGAGTAGTCATTACATCGCCTGAAAAAGATGTCAGTAAATTTTTGAGCAGCGTGAGTGAAGCTCTTACTGCGGAAATCAAATGCTGCTTGTCCTGGACCAGACCAAGCATTGATTTCATGATGAGGCTCTGGAGTTGGTGAGAGATCGGTCGTTCCACCTAGACCTTTCAGATCATTTGTCCCCAATTCCTTTTCTTTGGTTGCCATACTGAAGAATGCGATTCTGGATCGATTGTTATGAATTGGCGCGGGGTGAGGAAAAGGGTTTGCGAGGGGGCGTATATTGTCTTTGATGGATCTTAGTAACTGATGTCTTTTCAAAATAGATTGTAAGACTTGCTTATTGAAGAACAACTTGCTGGCCGTAAGGTCCTAAAATACCTTACTGCTCTCCCGGGTGAATGCATCTTTTGATCGAGCGGGGTACCTTTGAATTACGCCCTTCAATTCACTTACGAATAGCTTTACGCATTCAAACCTCAAAAGGGAAGTTGCTTCCAGTCTTGATAGGATCTGAGATAAGACTCTTATCTTCATGTGACTGAATCAATCTGCAGATGCAAGCCATGGGAATTGGTGGTCCATTAAAATTTTATGAAGACATGAAAGCAATCATCCGAGACTCAGACATGCAACAAATGATATTGATATATGACCAGTCGAGATACACAACGTTTTTTATGGATCTTTTAGGGCAGGATCACAGGCTTATAACATGATCCCTAGTAAGACATTCAATACAAATCATAATAGATTCATTAATGAATAATCTTCCTACAGTCAAATATTGACTGTTCACATGTGACGCAAGCTTCCACCAAGTATCCACTAACTTCAAGAAACGGTGGGATGAATTGTTGCACAGGGATTGATTAATTGCCTTCATATATCTGCTTCAAGAGTGAAAATCTATAGCCCAGGAAGTTGGTGTGAATTGTTTACTTTAATGGTTATAGTATCTTTTGCAAATTGATTTTCTGATCGAGAATGCTGTGGACGATACTCTCATGCCTCAAATCTCGTTGGGGAGTTACGCAAATCAGGTGGAGGGGCAGAATAGAAAAGAGAGGTTGCTGTATCTCGAGCTGTGATTAACTTGTTACTCGATAAACTACGTCGAAATTTCTAACATTCTCTCAATGAATCGACAATCTTTATTGGCGCTTCACTCAGCATACCACTTGGTTGTAAGGCTGAAAGTACTTGCAAATCGCAATGGCAACGAAGGGAAGTATTGGACCAGATATTGAGATCATACCTACTCCATCAGTGCCTCACATCTTGCTCGTTGCTATATCGCATTGACTTGGAAAGAGAATCGAGAATTAACAAGCCATAACAGCAGTGTCTGTGATTGTTGTACTTGATTAGTAGAAAGTTGTATTGGATTTGGGTTTCACGGTCTATCTCTGTGATCCGTCTAGATGAGATACTTCATCCGTAACTCCAATAAATGCCACCTGGCTAAGCTCCCTGAGACCCCAACTCCATATCGCTCAAATGCATGATGAAAACTCTCAGTCGTATACGCACACCCTCTTATTTGAATAGCCTTTTCCCTCTGACTCTAGTACCAAATCTCTCTACCCCACTGTGCTGTTGCAATTGCCATAGATTCAGCTGTCCAGCCAATCCATCTTCATTGCCCTCCCTCAGCCTTCTCAATGCCTCCCTCAAATGATCCGGTTGCAAAGGTGCTCTTCTCGTTTCCTTGGGTGCGTTTGTTTGGTTGGCATTAGCTTCCCCATTCTCCGTAGTGGTGTTCTCTGCTGGGGGCACGATCAATCCAGAATTTGGCTCTCCAGCTTCGATCCATTGGTCCTGTACCTTTCTTGCATTCTCAACCAACTCTCCAACAAACTGTTTAGCTACACTCTTAACCGCTAGAATGACAGTGCCCGGTACACTTTGCGACAAAGTCTGATTGACAATTCTCCTAACAGTAGCATCAGGAAACTTTACGGCTCGCATGGCGGTATAACGCTCGAATTGTTCTGGATCCAAATGATTTGCCAATAAAGCCCTTCGTTGAATGTCCCTTTGCTTTTCTTCTATACTAGAAGTCATCGATGTCATTGTTTGATCCACATTATTGTCATCTTCTTCCTCTTCTTCGATATTGCCGTTGGATGTTCGTCGTTTCTTCGAGGCAGGTCCATCGGATTTTCCCACGCCTACATTGGATCCCTCAAAATCACTCTTTCCACCCTTCGACTTCTTTGCGCGTTTTCTTTTTGATTGGCCACCTGCGACACTTCCACTGACAAGAGACATAGTATCAACACTTGGTGATCGTTCATAGCCAGGTGTGTAAACAGCGGATTCGGGAGGGAATGAAGTTTGGCGCAAAGGATGCGCAGACTGCGTTGAGGTAGTAGATAGCATACTTGCTTTCCGACGTTTTATCGATATGACTTCGGAAGCTCGACGTGTGTGCGATGCCGTGGTTGGAGGTAGTGGCAATGGGCTAGAAGGTATTGTGAGGGACAGGGAATTGTGAGGAAATTCTGTCGGCGCTGGTGGAGACGCCATATTGACCGGCGCACTTGATTCTGGAGCTAATAATCAGTGCTAAATTGATAAGTCGTGAATAGCCGTAGGGACTGAAGCTCTTATCGGCGCCGTATTTGACAAATCCTGCTTGTTATTCACAGGAAAATAGTTGGAGTTGTGTAGATTTTCGTGAAAGTATATGAATTCTTCGAGAATGGAAATATTATAAACGTAGGTATTAATAAGAGTGAGACTTGATTACTAGGTATCTAATAAGACATTTCCGTTGTTCCTTTTAGTAAGATTGGTGAGGTAGCATGGCATGTCAGTTCACACAAGGCTGAACAGTGTTTGTCTTACAGGTATCTGTGCTCTAAGCTGCATCAGAAATTACTAGATAGTGATTAGCGTCACCTCAGATAACCAATCGAGCCTATCTCGGAGAGCAATACCTAATCCCTCAAGGGTAAATTTTCTTTGATTACAATTATCCCCCATTTACACTTTTATTATTGACTTTTTTTCCCACCTTATCAAATACAATAAAGCATATTTCTCCGTTCAATTCCGAATATTTCGCGATGGTACAATTCTCCAATCTAGAGGGGAGCAAGGAGGAAGTAGAGAAGGAGAATAGAGAATTCAATGGCGCAAGCTCCAAACGCAAATTGGAAAATCATGGGGAAGGCGGGGAAATGAGCAAGAAGAAGAAGAAGAAGTCAAAGGCCAATGGTCATGGACATAGAAGACACAGTGTCAGCACCAAACCTGCCAGAGATCCAAGAGATGAGGCGGTTACAGATACTCCAGAAGAAACTCCAATTGAAGTTTCGAGAAGTCCAAGTCCAGTCATCGATTTTGATGGCTTGAGCCGTCCTAGTATGTCGTCATCTTTGGATTGTTGTCATGTCATCAAATGGCGGGAACATCGGTTTCTCTTTCGCTCATAAATCTAACTTCATTTCAGGCAAAGGCGCACGAGAACGTCTTGATGAATCCCCAGAACAAGCAGCCATCCGAATGACAAAATTGACCGGCGCAGTTCGCACAATTCTCGAATGCATTGGTGAAGATCCGGATCGGGAAGGTCTTTTGGCCACACCAGAACGTTATGCGAAAGCAATGTTGTATCTCACAAAAGGATATCAGGAAAATGTTAGGGATATTGTCAATGATGCAATTTTCCACGAGGATCACAACGAATTGGTCATTGTTAAAGATATTGAGGTCTTCAGTATGTGCGAACATCATATGGTTCCATTTACAGGAAAGGTATGTTTACTCTTAGCAAATTGTTGAAAGCAATGGAAGCTAATTCTTACGAAAAATAGATGCACATTGGCTATATTCCGGATCGGAATGTTATCGGTATCTCGAAGTTGCCCCGAATTGCCGACATGTTCTCACGCAGACTGCAAATTCAAGAGAGACTTACAAAAGACGTCGCGCATGCCGTGATGGAAATCCTTAAACCACAAGGTGTGGCAGTTGTCATGGAATCGAGCCATTTATGTATGGTTATGCGAGGAGTTGAGAAAACAAGTGCTACGACCATTACAAGTTGTGTTTTAGGCTGCATAGAGAAGAGAGAGAAGACTAGAAATGAATTTTTCAGTTTGGTGGGTTTGAATAGAAGATAGATAGATGGGAAGAGGTTGGCACATTCATTTGCATTTGCATAACTAGGCGTTTGGGAAAGGGGTACAGTGGTCTTCAACACCATCATGGGAGGGCGTTCATTCTTTGGTCTTAACGCCATTTACGTCTATTCTGGATATTTATCTATCCTAGGTCTTTGATCTTCAAATCAAGAAATACAAGTCGGAAGGGAACTTACACTGGCAATTTACCAGTATGTTCTTTCAAATGCTTTTCATCACTGTCTACATTTATTGTTTTTGATGCGAATGCATTCGTTCTATCATTTGTTACTTGTTCTCCACTTTTTTGTCCTCATCGAACAACACCTAGCTCTCCACCCTTTCCTTTTTCTATCTGTTCTACCAAATCCTTCACGGCATCCCATGTCTTCTCCGCAACCTCATCTAGGCCATTACCCGCATCGATTGCCTTCATTATGCGTCGCTCGTGCTCGAATCCTGGGAGCGCTGAATCTTGCAATGTCAGGAATCCATTCCTGACTCTTCTCTGCATCTCTCTCGTTTCGTACTTCTCGTCTCCGTACCCGCCTCTCTTTTCTGCTTCCTCGGGCTCTAAATCCAAAAATATTACTCTATCTGGCATCGGTAGACCTATTTCAGGGTTTTTGCACCATTCGAGGGAAAGATGATTTGGAGAATCGATTGAATATTTGGAGGACGTGTAAATCATTCCGGAATAGTAATAACGATCGCAAACGATTGTGTACCCTTGGGCAATCAAATCCCGAATTTCTTGGGCTTTCTCCCATCGGTTTGCCGAGAAAAGAAGATGTATTGACTGATCTGGGAGAGTAGTGGAGGATTGTAGGTAGGAATTTATCTGTTGACCAATTGAGGTTGTTCTGTCTTAAATTATGAGCTTGGAGGCTTCCCTTTGATCAGGAGGGTGATGAGCTTGGAATGAATAGCTGGAGGTGTAAATTGTTGATCTAGTACATACCAGGAAATCGCATAAGCTTGACATTACGTCCAGACGCATATAGTTTATCACACAATTTCTTTACTTGGGTCGTCTTCCCAGCTCGGTCGAGTCCTTCGATCAATATGAATGAGCCGCGAGAGATTGGGCTTGCAGACTCGCGATATGGATAAAGATCTATGTTTGTAACTGTCATATTGCAGGATACGTACCAAAAAAAGAGAAACGTAGATTTTGGAAAGATTAATCAATTTAATGGATGGGTGTAGACAGGGGCAGCGGGGTACGTGTTGCACGACGCGACCTGGGGAGCGATGTGGGGGGTGGTTCTTTCCGCAATATACCCTTCTCTCTATCTTGGAACGAATTCAAATAAAACCCTATTGAAGAACAGTTCCAAATTTGATGTAAGCTAGTGCAATGAGGTGAAGTGAATGATTACAGGGAATAGGTGAAATTGATTGGATACGCAGTAGCCTCGCGAAAGAGGTCAGCCTTGCACTCTAGCTCCGACAATCTATTCGAACGACAAGTACCTATCAAAGAATATTCCACGAGCCGTATCGACGAATGCGCCGACCACAATAATTATTCGTACAGATGTTAGCATTTCAACTGCTTTCCGGTTTCTTTTCCATATGCTCTACAGCTAAATTCTTCCAGCTATAGATACCCATTATTCTACCACCAGCTCTATTAAATCCATTGCTCAATAAAAGTCGGCGTCCAACCCCCCTCTTCCACAAACCTCCAGAACTCATTCGATCAGTATGGCGGATCCTAAGTTAGTATGGAACCCGGACAACGTTCGCGACGTTGCCGAATCTGTCGGCATCTCACAATTGGGCGAAGAGGCAGTAAGGGCATTGTCGCAAGAAGTTGAATACCGAGTTGGCCAGGTCATTGTCGAAGCAATGCGATTTATGCATCAAGGAAAAAGAACAGTGTTGGGCACACAGGATATTTCACAAGCGCTCAAAGTATTGGACGTTGAGCCACTTTATGGTTACGAATCCACAAGACCATTGAGATTTGGAGAGGCAAGCTTAGGTCCTGGCCAACCGCTCTTTTATATTGAGGATGAGGAAGTAGATTTCGAGAAACTGATTAATGCGCCTTTACCAAAGGTTCCCAGAGATATGTCATTTACTGGTAAGAAGATATGGGAAAGTTTAGGTATGGCATGATGCTAATGAAAACAGCACATTGGCTTGCGGTTGAAGGTGTTCAACCATCAATTCCACAAAATCCAACAACAGCAGAAGCTCGTGCAAATGACCTCGTGCCTAAAGGTCCTGGTGCGAACCTCAATCTTGGAGCACTGGCTGGCAACGATAATGTTTCGGTCAAACCTTTAGTCAAACATATTGTGTCGAAAGAATTGATACTTTTCTTCGACAAGATACGCGAAGCTATTCTTGATGATGATGACGATCCAGAAGTCGTAACCTTGCGAGAATCCGCGTTGGAAAGTGTGAAATCAGATCCGGGTCTTCAACAACTGGTTCCATATTTTGTTCATTTCATTGCTGAGAAGGTCACTCATTCTCTGAGCAATCTCTTCGTATTACAAACAATGTTGAAACTGGCCCATGCCCTTATATCAAACACAACCCTATTTGTCAATCCTTACATATCAAGTCTTTGCCCACCTATTCTTACATGTCTCGTCGGTCGTAAACTTGGCAACGGGACTCCAGAAGAGTTGAAAGAAAAATACCAATTGCGAGACACGGCCGCATCCCTCATTGGGATCATCTCAAAAAATTACACGGAATCAAACGCACAGCTTAGAGCAAGGTTGGCAAGATCGTGTCTAAAATTCTTCCTGGATCCAACACGCTCTCCAGGAGAATATTATGGAGCTATCAGTGGGCTTCTAGCTATTGGTGGCCCCGATGGTGTCAGAGCTCTTATTCTACCAAACTTGGGTGCATTCGATTATGTGCTGAACAAGTTGAGAACTGACAGGACTGGTGATGATAAGGAGATACAGATGTTAGTCGCGGTAATCATGAAGGCGGTGATGAGCCTCTCTGAAAAAACTGAAACACTTACGAATGGTACAAACAATACAAATGGCAATGGGATAAATGGGATGATGGATTTAGATGACGACGAAGGAAAACAGCTTGAAGAGTTTCTAGGACCTACTATTGGGAAAAGGGTACGGAATGCAGGGGATCATAAATTGAACAAGACAATTTTGGAAGCGAGAGAGAAGAATTAAAGATGTTGTAATATATGTAGCTGCATTCCGCATTATGGGCGTTTAAGGGTGTGCCTGGAAGGCATGAGCTAGGCTGGGAATCCATATACAAGTGGATACATTCACTTCAAAAAGTAGTTTATCATATGAGTTCTTGCATTTGAGGAAAACTTTGTATTTGAATTGAGAAACAATAAGTTGCGGGGGTTCGAATAGTCTGAACTGCGGTGCAGCAATGAAGGGAATTGCTGTGACTAGGCCACAGCCCCATATCTGAACACTGAATAGGAATAATTAAAAATCAGCTCCAAACCACTGCAAGAAATAAATCCACTCTCCTCCTCTTCATTAATGGCATCATTTCCACGTCTTCGAACTCACTCACGCATCCTCTCTTGCTCGCTCAAGCTGGAATGGCATATAAAGAGGGGATATAAACATTCGTTCCCAACTTATTAGCCAGTACCAATCTGCTCGCATCACCAACTTTGAAGAAGGGGCGGGGAGCAGACGCCCCTCCGATACACGATAGAGGGAACCCACCAACCGATGCATCATACGTGCCCAGTGTACATTTTATCAGTGGAAAATTTGCAGCATAGCTAAGTGTGTCCATAAAAATGTATGATGGGGCGCCCGTACCCGCGCCGTCGGTATCGGCGACGCGGGTTTTGTCTGATGAGTAGAGGGATGTGCCGTCGAGATAGAATTTGGCTGCGGAGTTTGCGGTGATAGGTGATACGGTTAGGATCTTCAACCCGGAATAGTCTTCGTAAGTTACGTGTTAGGATTTCTCGGTGTCGGCGGCAATGACTAAGGATGGGGTAGCACTAGCCGTAGTGGCGGTGGTAGAGGTGGTGGTGGTTGAAGTGGGTTTTGAGACGTAGTCAGTTACGTAGACGGTAACGGCAATAGTCGCTTTGGTAGCCTGTGCGGAGCATGCTGCGGAGATAACAGTGCTAGGGTATTTGGTGAGCCCAGCTGGCGTAGCAGCAACTGAGCGTTTTGCTGGAGTGGCGGTGCTATTGGCAACCATGAAAGGTATAAGAGGAGTACCATTTGCTAGATGCACTGTGACGTCGCTTCTTTTTGGAAGGGTATTATTGGCTACAGTAGTAGTGGTTTGAGAGACCACAGTCGATGTAAATATTGAAGTGATGGTAGTTGATGCAGTAACAGTATCAGCTGCGAAGCCGAGCAAGGTGGTACAACAAGGTTGGAGAGATGAGTAGGATATCTCGACCGACGCTTGAGCAACAGCGCATGTGTTATCTCCAGATGTCAATCCTGGGTTGGTTTCGTTGGTATAGGTATATGACAGTCCAATGAGATAATGATCAGATCCACGGTACTGTCCAACATTGGTTGCGTAGCTAGAATCCCATGCCTCAGAATAGATGGCACAATATTGGCCTTGTGTATGAGAAAGATCGTTGACATAAAGGAGATAAGTATTGAAAAATTGACAAGTCTTTACTGGACTTCCATCAGATGGAGGGTGATCAAGGTTATATTTTGATTGTGCGCTACAGTAAGCGGCACAGAGAGATGCATCGAAGGGGCCGGTAGAGAAGATTGTTGACCCCATGTAAGTATTACATCTATTGGAAATGTTAGCGAACGATTATGAGAATTGTAAACAGAGACATTTCATCTTATCACTAACCCTTGTGAATCATATGGCGCATTAATGGCAGCATTTCCTAGGTATTGTGCATTTCCATAACCAGGGATAGGAGCAATGCTGTTATTCGTATATCCATTAGATCCAGCAATCGCGACCTGAAAATTATCTCTGTATTGTCCCGAGTTTACGGCATTTTCGATAGAAACTGGGCCACCCCAGAACACGCATTTGATCATTGTAACACTTGGGGAATCCTCGCATGATCCTCCAGGTTCGACACTTGGATCACGTTCAAAGTCTGCATACACGTTAGTACGTCGCTGCAATCATTCTTCGGATTGGGTATGTAAATTTACAAGGTTGAAGGCCATACATCCGTTGATAGCCGAACATTTCGATGCACACAATTCCGAATCATAATATCCGAGAGTAGTGATTCCCATATACCCATAGGCACTAGGCGAGTTTCCGGTTATTTCTCGGCTATCGTGACTTCTAATGCTTACTTGTTGGATGTCTTGAGGTTCTGGAAAGATTGTGTGTATCCAGCTGGAGTAGAAGCAGCGGAGGCAGCATCAGAAAATCCAGGATTGGTTAAAAAAGCAGATGGAGAATCAGAGGCATATGAGGGAGCTCCAGTAGCACCGGCTGGTTGAGCTTCACACGCTGTTCTCTTAACCTTGGGGGCATTGACAGCATCGCTGATTGCTACAGATTGAGATGCAACAGCTTGAGTAGCAGCGACGATTGCAGTCGAAGCATCGTAAGCGACAGATTGAGCAGTTGGGCCAATAGGAGGACCAGTAGTAACTGGATCAGAAGCAGCTTCGACCATAGCAAAGTCGATGTCTTGGGGGACTGGAGTTGCAAAAGTCATACCCATCAGGGCAGCAATTGTTATCAAGGAAAACCGCATATTGAATAGGAAGCAGATTTGATAGATGATCAGATAATGTACATGAAAGTATGTATGATGGAAAAAGATTCGGCTGGGTTGATCACCAAGAATCAGTATCACTGAGGACTACCAACTGCAGTTCCGAACTATATATAAAAGCCATTCAGCATACAACCTCAAACCCCACAATTATTTCAACATTCCTAACTCTATTTCCCGAAAGAATACTGAGAATATATACGCCTACATGCGTACATCCAAAAACAAACTCAAACTCGAATCTCATTCACAAAAAGAAATCATTGTATAAAAACCATCAGCGTCACGGGTTAAAAAACGTAATAATACCTCCTGCCGCCCAGGCTCGATGTTACCATCCATTTTCCCCTCAAAACATATCGATAGTCAGAAATAAACTTCAGCAGTAACGTGCAGGTGAACAGAACCATAGAATGGGCGTCCCGATGGATTTCTCGGAAATTCGATGACTTGAATGTGGAAATGATAGAAGCCCATATCGCAAACATCCTCCTCCAATCGAAGCTTTTCATCGTCAAATTCGCCAGACGTCGTATACCTGATAGAGAATGATTTGACGAGTGGCTTCATCTTAATCTGTTCTATTACTGCATGTGTAGTCTATTACACCTCAAGACTTGAAAAACTCAATTGCGATTTATGTCTGTCAAGCTAGAGCTAGGTGTCTAAACCTGGGAACATACGACAAAGGCTGTATACACTAGTAGCCCGTGGGTATGATCAAGCGTGCACTGACAAGACGGACGGATAGGAAGCTTTGCAGAAAAAAGCTTAAGGAAGTGAAGTGAGTGGGCCAAAAATCCTATCCAAGCTACAGTGAAAATAGAAACAAGCGATTCTGCTTCCCAAAAATGACAGGAGCTTTCCGGGGAAAGCTGGGGGGAAATAAAATCCGTACTATAATGACGGAGGCACGCTAGCACGCTACTAGACCCAAGTTCGTTCTAGATGCTACTGTCAACGATAAGAGAGGCATATCGGCATCGTGCGTTAACCGTCAATTTTGATAGACGCAAAGTTTCATACAACTGGAGCATGGTACTGTGAAAAAGTCATCACTAAAGTAAGTGACCATACACGTCCTGAGCTTGGTAAGGCTATCACGCTTCCTGTCCTCCTATCGAGACTGGTTTGACTGAGCAATAATTTGAGAGTTTTCCCCTCCACAGAACATAGTTGTGGAAATCGCAGCGGCTTGCCAAGAGAATAATTGTAGCTCAAACACGTGAAAAGACATGCGCAGGGGCCTCTCACTTGACTTTATATGGTTAGACGCATCTACCCCTGAGTGTTCCTGACTAACAAATCATAAATTATAGACGGCGCTCGTTAGTGGAAGACTAGGAACATTAGGCTCACAGTACAGTATATCTCTAAAAGAGAGGTTTTGCAAAAGGGTAAAGGATCACTTCCTGAGATATGAATGTGATGGATCCCTTAAATGCACTACATAGGTAATGGTAATGGAATTTTCGCGTTCTTCATGGCAACCGCGAGGACTATCATTTCTTAGCTATGTATAGAATGCGGGGAATAGACATCTCAATGGTCTGTGATGTTAAATCTTCTTAGAGACCCCTCTCTTCCCTGGGCAATTATTCTTCCATGAAAATGTCAAGACGATGATAGAACCGATTTGAATGCCACCGCCTCTCAAAAGAGTGCATAAAGTTACAATAATCCGATTGCTCAAAATAAGCGAGTCTACTCTTCCCTCCCCATTCCAAGTAAGCAACATCAGCAACATCCCATCCATAAAGCCACACCACCATCAGCCCGATACCTCACACTCCCAAAAACCATATCATCAATAACCCATCCATCCATCCATCCCATCGCGCAACATCCCCACAAATCCCAAACCCACAATGTCTCTCTGTCCCCGATGCAGCGCGATCGATCTCACAGACCCGCACGCCGATATCCGACTCGGTTCGTATGAATCCCTGTTAGAGAAAAGTCATCGGATAATTGATCCGGTTACTTCTTCTTCAACTCATTGTGAAGCATGTCTCTATTTCATAACGATTCTTCATCATTCATCCCGCTACGCGCATTCGCGCGAGGAGTTGAAGGATAAGATTGTTTTTCTGTATATGCATGGTTTGGATGTGCGGGATGTGGATAGACAGGAGCGGAAGAGGTGGGGGGGCATGGATATGCGGTTTGATGTTTGTGCGGGAGAGGATTACGAGGGGGGATTGGGCGGAGGACGGTTTGATAAGGAGGAGAGGGGATTACCTGTTGATCGGGTGAAGAATGTTCCGGTTAGTATGGATGATGAGAATGGGCTTGATGCAGTTGGGAAGTGGATGAGGGATTGTGGGATGCATCATCAGATTTGTCGGGCGGTACGGCGGGCTGAGGGGCTACCGACGAGACTTGTTAGGATATCAAGTGATTTTGATGTAGCTCCGGTGCTTATTGAGACGTCCGGGTTAGCATCTATAGACTATTTCGCATTGAGCACTCGTTCATTTGTGGAGACGGAAGGCCACAGGGTGGAAAATCTCTCCATCTTGGAAACAACGGGAAAGTCTTTAGATACAAATTCGCTTCCTAAAGTCTTCACAGATGCATTCGCTATTACCCGACGCCTAGGATTTGAATACATCTATATCGCCGCTCTCTGTCACGTGTCAGACGATCCTCTCGATCTGATATCAATCTTCGCCCAAACAACTCTCCTTCTATCCGCCGATAACGTGCTGTCTCCCACCGATGGATTACTCCAACCTCGAGCAGTTTTCCATTCTCCTCCCCTTGGAATCAACAAAGACCGTTATCTCCGTCTAAGCTGTCTTCGCAATCACGCGGATCTCGATTCCTCTCCGCTGTCGAAATCTGGCTGGGCATTTATGGAACGAGTCCTCGCACCTCGAATTGTGCACTTCACTAAACGTCAATTGATCTGGGAGTGTGCCGATGGATGGAAATTCGAAGCGGCGAATGTGGAAGATACACAATATGGACGTGGGATGATCCGAGGAACGTATCAGAAAAATCTCACGCAGCCCTACATCCAGGAATATCTATCTCGCAAAGCCACAAGTATCTCCAACCCCAGCACACACGAAAACAACAATACTCTGACGACAAATCTTAGCAAATATGCACAGAGATTAGAAGTCTGGTGCCAAATCATCGACACCATCTCCCACACCACCTTTCCCTCCCAACCCGATAAATCCACAGCCCTATCGCTCATCACACAAATCATGGGGAACGACACACTCGGCCCAAGCCTCTCTGGCATCTTCGCCAAAAATATTGCATTCGGACTTGCATGGAGCCGCGTAAATACACTACTAACACCAAATCGTGATGCCCGCGCGCCAAGCTGGAGTTGGGAGAGCGTACACGGATCGATCTCGCACACGTACACGAGCTATCCCCCTTCGATCCTGCAGATACGCTCTGCGCACACATCCTGGATCGATAAATACACTCCGCAACTATTTTCACACGATGACTCGTCTTCCCGTTCATTATCTTCCCTCCCCGTCTCACATCCTCTCCCCGAATATTCTTCGCTCATCCTCGAAGTGTCTCTCTCAAGCGTCCTCCATCTGTGCGAGTACTTCCAGCCCGAATTCCCAAAATACATGATCAATCTCGTGCTTGACCAATCACCCATCTTCGATTGTAAATGCTGTGGTCCTAGAAGTGATGCGGTGCAAGAGAGCGGCATGCAAGAATTTGACAAGAGGAAGGATCATTACTTCGCGATGTATCTATCGGGAGATATGGATGTTGAGTCGGGAGATAAGGATCCGTGGAAGGTGAGTAGGTGTGCGGATATGTTGGTTTTGAGAATGGTCGATGAGGGGGGAGAGGTGGGGAGAGGTGATGGAGATCAAGATGCAAGTATTGCTGCGCAGAGAGAAAGATTTAGTGGAGATGCTGGAACTGCAAAGTATGAGAGAGTAGGACTATTGAGATTGAGTTTTACGAGTTATGAGAAGAATTCCACCGATGAAGCGTCAATACAGGAGAAATTCGATGGGGTAGGATGGGAGAGGAAAACGATCAGGTTGGTTTGAAAGATGCCAGGATGTATGCAGATGCAAGAGCACGTAACATGATAAATATCACATCAATTAATCTTCACCCCCTTTCTACATCGATCCGAACTATAAACAAATCGACTAAATCCCCCCCTTCACATAATAATCCACCGGATACCCCAACCAATCACACTGTTTCAAATCCGCAAACTCCTCCACCTTCCCCGGCCAATCAATCACCATCATACTGCCCTTCTCCCCATCCACGCTCACCTCCTTCCACTTGCCCACCTCCCTAACCCCCTTCTGCACCGTCGCATATCCTCTACTCTTCAGGAACCCCTCCTCAGGATTCGGATTGCCAGTCCTCACAAACGCCCCAAAATAACTCACACTCAACTGAACGCTCCACCAATCCTCCTGATCTCTAAACTCCAACCCCGTATTAAACGCTCCAAACACCCACGGCATATCCGCGCCATGAAATCGAAAATACGGCAAATTTGGATTCCCATCCGGATAGCCCGGCGAAGACGGTGGTCCCCCGAGTCCATTCGGATCCCAGCCCGCAACCGTGCGTCCCATCTGGTAGAAGTAGCTTGATTTAAAAATGCCATTTTTCGACCCCGCATACACGGTGGCTTGATCCACACAGCGGAAATCTTTATCCGTGGCGACGCGCTGCGATACGTTGAAGGCGTCGAGCGTGAGGTTGCCCGTGTCGTAGAAGGGGAAGAGTCCGCTGTCGATGATGGATTGAGCATAAGATGTGGATATACCGAGGGAAGCCGCGATGCCGGAGACTTCGGATGTGACCGGAGTAGTTGGGTAGTTGGTGCCGATGGATGCACCGTCGTTGGCAGTGACGCCGAATATGACATCGACGTGAGCGGTGCTTCCGTTGTGATTCACAAGGTCGAGCTCAGCTGTATTTACATAGTGACCATCTTGGACAACATAACGCGCCTCAGAGCCGACCGCAACCAAATCTAGAGCGGGCACATTCTTCAGACACGCAATTTGGGCAGAGAGATTAGACTGGTTGCATCCCGCTGCTAGGAAAATGTTTTGGCCGGCGAGAGCATAGGATTCGGGGATGGTGAGATATGAGGAGTAGGTAGTTGCATAGTCACCGGTAAGACCAAGATCGACGCCACCACCAAGATTGGACATGGCAACTGCTCCTTGGAATTTCCCGATTGCGGGTGGCGAGCCTAGAAGTGTGCGGACAGATCCTGCACCGGCGGATTCTCCTATGATCGTGATTCTTTTTGGATCTCCTCCAAACGCAGCAATGTTTTTCACTGTCCACTGATATAATATTAGCACCATGAATCATGTGTAACAATTAGATATGCTACTTTACCTCCAGAGCATTGATTTGATCCGCAATCCCATAATTTCCCGTAATGTTCGTCCCAGGAATAGCCAGGAACCCCAGAACAGAAAGTCTATAATTAACATTCACAACGACGATATCCTCTCTACTCGCCAAATCACCGCCATCACTCAATTGATCCGCACCACTGCCCCCCACAAACCCACCACCATGGATCCAAAACATCACTGGTCTCAAATCCTTCGTCGATTTCGCTTTGGGAATATGCGGAGTTTGGATATTGAGAAACAAACAATCCTCGCTCCCACTCGAAGATTGTGGACACTGTGCGCCATATGCGGTTGCTTGGATCGTTTTCCCGGTCGGCGAGTACGGTGTGGAATAGACAAATCGCGCGGCCGGATTCGCATACGGAATCCCGAGAAAGCGGAACGATTTCTGGTTGCGATATCCAATATATGTATTTCCGCCCGCGACGAGAGAAACCTCATTGGCGTCTGTAGCAACCGCGGTTCCGGATTGACTTTCTTTGCTGGATTGTGTACAAAGAACCGGTAACTTTGCATTACCAGAGGTAGACTTCGGGAAGCTCAATCCGTGAGCGGCGTCGTAGGAAATCACTCCATCGTTAATTATATATAGCTGAGAAGACGACGAGCGACCACGATATGCTTGATATGAGAGCGGGAGGAGAAAATCAGATGTATGGCTTTTGATGATGCTACTGCTGAGTAGCGTTTCATTCAACGCCTTACATGCTGCGGATGCATCTTTAGGGGAGTGAGGGTCTAGAAGAATAAAGCCCACGTGATTGACATCATCAGAAGCATTAAGATTATTCTGATACAAAAGCGTCAACGAGGTATCAGAATTCGAAAGTGCCGACGCATGCTGGAATACCACAGAGACGAAGAAAGAAAGATACTGAAGACGTGAAAACACAAACATCGTGAGCAGCCTTAACCAACTCAACCCACGGAATAGCATCGCATCTTGTACCTTCCACATCGCCTCTCCACAAACTTAGCTTCATCAATTACATTTAGCCAAGATCCCCCGTGAAGAATTCCTAATCTCGTAACCTAGTCTGCTCAACCCATTCTTCCCATTCTTCCCAGGAATATCGTGGAATATAATCCGATCCTCCATTCGGAGTCACTCTCAGCAAGGTTAAACTGGAGATATACTTTATCCGGTCGTGCCGGTGTGCAAAAGATCAACCATTTCGCTGCGCGGGGTAACGCGATGGATTTTACCCATCTCCATTTCCCCGCAATTCCGTATTCAACCGGTGAAAAGTGGTTGACGGCTATTTGAATGAACGATTCCGCAAGGAATCCCCATCATTGGGAAAAATCTTCAAGTGGTCACACCGCCAGATTTATCAATATATTAAAGTTATATAGTCCGCCTCCACCGCAGTAGCTTTCGGAGAGAGCCTGAAACATCAAGCTCTCTTTCGTCGTTATATACCAGCCTTGAAATCCTGCTCACTTATTAGCTTTGTATCTTGTTTTTGTTACACTGTCACAATTTAAGTAAAGGTAAGAGCACCAGGAGATGAGGTTAATGCTTACTAATCAAACCTGTGGTGGGATGTTAGACTGTATTGTGATCACGGAGCAGTACCTCAAGACCCAATACGATTTACGAAGGAGTCTCATTCATACTTCAATCTCCCTCGATTTATCACATGAAGCAAACGTTGAACAGTACAAAATAAGCAGAAAATTCATATCCAGATATTCATCTCATGCAGTGGTATTTTTTTAAGTCTAAATACATCATCTCACCCCAATTCTCCCTCCTACCGCTCCTCCTCCACCATCTATTTGGTATCCCCAATATCGTATGGAACTTTGCATGCAAATGGTATCTCAGCTTCTCTCTCTCTCTATCTATGTCAAAAAAATCGCCAAAAAATGTCAAAAGTCGCAAGGACATATCATGATATCAGTAAGGCCTGCCTCCCCGCTACAATGTCCATGTCCCCGAACCCCCTTTTCCCTCACAGTCTATCAATCATGAAAAAAAGCAAGATTGCTGCGTCGAGAAAGAATGTAAAAACGCAATAAAAACACAAAATCAAGTCAAAAACAGCGTGTACAACTAGGCGAAGTGACCTCCTCTTTTCTTTGCATGTTGATGTTCGTGCAAATGTCTTCTTCTGGCAACGCCACTTGCAGTTGCAGTTGTAGTTGCCGTGGCGGTAACGGTAATAGTAACATCTTCCTGGACCCAGACTACTTCGTCGACTTCTACCTTTTCGTTAAGTGGGGAGATCGCGGTGGTGGTTGAGTAAGAGGTTGAATACAAAGATGCCGATGAGGTGGTGAGAAGAGTAGTTGCTGAGCTTGAAACCGCTGCGGTTGCGTCTGCGGCGGCAGTAGATGAGCTAGAGTCTGAATATGCAACTCCGGATTCGACGGCTGCGAAAACACCACCTGGTACGTATGTTTGTCCGAGAGAAGCGACTGTAAAACCGGAGGGTCAATAATTGCTTAACAGAGAAGAGTTTTGGAGAACGGGAAGTTGTAATTAGATTAGGAAATAGGAAATAGAATGGATGCACAAAGAAACGGAGGTGAGTGTTGACATCAAAAAAAAACAAGATTAGGCATGATAAATGGAGGGATAAACGGAGTGATATTCATAAGCAGTGAAATTAGTAGTCTTACCAATGGTTGATCCGGCCGAGTGGGAGAGGGTTGGAACGATGGCGGATGAGCTAGTTGTGGTAGCCGCGCTTGATCCCTTGGCAGGTGAAGTTCCATATGCTGCTGATGATGTTTTGGCGGTAGTGGCTGCGCCAGTCATAGCAGTAGCTGGAGCAGGTCCTGAATGAACGGGGCAGTTTCCGGGAAGTGTAGACATAGGTCCAACAACATCATCATCCACCAAGGCGGTTGGAAGTGTAAAGTTGCAAGATCCATAAACACTTTTATCTTGGATATCAAATATTGCGCAGTCTTCAATTCTCCCGGAAGGGTTCGTGCAGGTGGCCACAGCTTCTTGCAAAAATTCTTCATCCCAGCCCATGATGAAATCTCCGTGGTACCCGTACCCAGTTGGGTCACCGTTAGCAAGCATAAACTCTCCGTCAATACCTTTAAAGGCATAGGTATCCCAGATAGTTTCAAACAAGATCGAGACAAGACGAGTATCGAATCCTGCTGGGCAATTACCAGTCATGACTTGATCAGGATACGCCATATGGGACTTTCCATCTGGTGCAGTTACTCCTGCGGTCTCATTCCAGCATGATGGGAACATAAGTTCTATTCGGGTACCATTGAGGCAATTTGAATCCATGTAAGCCTTATCTGGCATGAAATGACGGTAAAGGGTTCCTTCAGGCTCGTTTTTGGGATAGTTCAAACAGTTGAAGCCAACAGCAGCTTGTCGGAGGAAATCTTGGGTGTTATATGGAGACGTGCTTGCCCAGGATGATTTATCAACATCAGGAACAGCATAATCGGAGAAGTTACGGACATCAGTATTTCCTGCAATCATAGCAAAGTCTCTGGGGAAAGCAGTTACATTCTCTCCATAAAGAAGGTAATACCTGTTGTAGAAAATTTAGCCACATCTTTTCCGGATAATTTCCAAGAAGTAAATAATGAAAGAGGCAACTTACGCAAGCATACCCCCCACTTGTTCAACTAATTGGTACTGTCCAGTAGCATCATCACGGAAATAGAGCGCGGGGGTCCAGTATACAGATTTGTCTTGAGACACTTGACATGAAGTACAGTTTCCGGCCATTAAATCATCGTAGCCTGAAGACTCTCCAAATCCTATTCGACATATTAAATTAGTATTCCCCTTGCCAGATAGATCATTGCCCACATACCGCTAGATCCATGAATAACATGTGCATGTGGAGAGGAAACCCCAGGATTGACCAAGGGATCAACTCTTGCCAGTCCAGTTCGAGATAGACATGGCATACGCCAGAAAGCATCAACGCTGCTAGCCAACCCCGCCATGATGGCTGCCTTTTCGACGAAAGAGTATCCGCGCATTTTGAATATATGTATCCAAAAATCGATATCGAGTGTTGTTTAGTTTTATTTTGTTCCAGTGACGTTATTCAAATGATTACTCCTTGCAAGCAATGAAGAACCACAAAAGAATGTGCAGAACGAAGGATTTGAGAATCGGAAACGTTCTTGGGAAGTGGTTGAGTATTTGGGTATAGTTATTGTTTTTTTTTATCCTAGTCGAAGGATTTGTTGGTGCTGTTGATATTCCGGTCGGAAATTGGCGCAGCGACAACAGGATTCCTCAAATCGAACCGTTCGATTGTAGATGATTCACTTTCAATCACCACAATATTTTCTCTCTCCAATGAATATTGAATCAATAAATCCAAAGAATATCTTTTCTTTTCTCCTAGGATGCAGGGTTGGTGATTTTGTATAGTTTGCGCACTGAAGTCGTGGATGAATAACCTCGAATTCGAAATTCTTTCGTCCAACCTCACTAGAAACAAACAATTTTCTGACGGCGCAGAATGGTACGGGGATGCGGAAAGCGATGTCGAAGTGCGATGCGATATGATGAAAGTCCAAAACGATAGTCCAAAAGTAAAGAATGGGATTGTATGCACACAAAGATTCTCTGGACGTGTACCTTGCCACGAACGAGAGTCGATACAGTGAAAGGGTTAAGGAGCGTGAAGTATGTTTCTTGAAGAGAAAGAATGTAATTGTCGATAGAGACGATAGTGGACTTTCAACGGTGGAGAAAGAGGCAAGAAACAAAAAGTGGAAGGCGATGGAAAAAAAACGTGGAGGAGGAGGGATATAAGAAAAAGGAAAGAAAGGGTAGGTATCTACCTAGGGGTGGATGAAAATGGACTAGGCCGGTTTGAGGACTTTGGTAGAGGAAGAAGAGTGGAAGGATTCATTCATTCATTCATTACCCAAGTCTCAAGTCTCAAGGCGACCCATAGCCATAGCACGAGATCTTACAAGTTACGAGCGAGCGTACGAAAATCCCCACTCACGATGCCAAGGATAGAGTGGACAAGATTGGCCAAGGTGGGTAGAGTGAGGGATTTGGAAGGGGGTGAGGGGGGGAGGGGGGAGGGAGGAAGGGGGAATGAAGAGGAAAAGGACGAGGACTACCAGATTGAGCAATTGGAGAGAATTGGTTACCTAGGTACACACTCTAGAGGGAATGAATACAGAGTACAGAGTAAATGAGTAAATGAGTAAATGAGGAATGACCAACTGATGAGCATAGGATGAACAGATTCCACGTCCCAAAATGGCGAAAACGATTCAAATTACAAAGTAGATTCCCAGTAGTCTTTTGACTAACATGAACGGACGGATGGATCCGGCACTTTTTGGCACCGTATACGATAATATTATAATTATATCTACTACATAACTAGTACATATGACCTACCTACTCTTATTTTACTCTATGAATGAGTAAGAAGAAATAGAAAAGTAAGATCTTGTAAATTACGTGCGCATCCTTTCTTTTCCTCTATTCCTTTTCCATCCTCAGATTGGATATGTAGGAATGGGACCATTGGTTATGCGTGGAAGTTATGCCAATGAGAGAGGAATGGATACTAGGTAGATAGATATAGATACATGGATGTGATAGGATACCATTTTATCAATCTGTATCTAATGTACAATGTATCCATCCATGCCTTTGGGACTGTCTGATTATTCACACCCGACCGACCCCTCTCACACAAAATTCAATTTCGGTCGGTTTTCTCTTCTTTCTTTTCCTTTTCCTTTCCCTTCCCTTCCCTTCCCTTCCCTTCCCTTCCCTTCCCTTCCCTTTCCCTTTCCCTTTCCCTTCCCTCTCCTCTCATCCTTGGCACGCAAACGCAATCCCAAGCATCAAATGTAATTGGATTGTAGGACATAGGCATGGATTGACATGATTCAATTGGCACGAATGGAACGATGGGCAGCAGATGGAATTAGTTTAGACCCCTTGCATGTGCTTAGTTCATCCTTGGTGTGAGACCCATCGGCTAAGGATGATGATGGATGATTTTCAGGGGGAAAACGCCTCGCCGCACTGCATAAACCGCTTGGGCGTGGGTGTCCTGATATTAATTTGGATCTCCATCCGTAAAATTGTATGGAGAGCTTATCATCGTATTTTCCATCTCGAGAGAAATGCCTTCTCCATTTTATCTTTTCCGATGACGATACCGAGACGTGGTCGACGTTTATACGAGACACACTTGACAGCATGAGATGTATGCCTTTGGGTTTCTCTTCCTGCGTCGGCCGTAGCCCGTCTTGGTGTGCTATTAGGTGAGTGCGTAGATAGATTGATGGACAACAGAAAGAGAATCCAGATAATCACACACAATTGAATTTTATCGATAAGAACCTTCCTCTACTTTGGTGGCGTAAATTCTATCCTTATTATCCTTCGCCTTCCTACCGTAATTCAACATGAAACGATCCTCAAGACCAATCACCTCCCAAAGCAAGCCAGATCATCCCGTCGTTGTACGCACAGACTGCCCTTCTTCCGGATTAGTGCGAAATGAGTACCGTGTTATTGCCATTCAAGTCTTGGAATTCCAGAATCCATCAACACAGCATCCCATTCATCATTCAAACATTCAACTAACATTCTCAACAACCAAACAATCCTCAGCCTCTGCTACCTACGCTATCCACCCGACACACACCCTACATTCTTTCCATTTCCTTTCGCTAACACATCAGGATATGCCGTGTTTCCGCCGTATGTATTTTCCTTTCCTCCGTTTGCTTTGCTGCGCTGCGCTGCGTCGGGTCCACACTGGCGCTTGCAAACCCCTTTCCCGTACACGTTTGACGTACCTACCTACCTACCTAGTACTCCCAAGAATCTGATCTGATTTGCCAATAGCATACATAGCAAGCGCGAGCATACTTCGTACATTACCACAAAAAATCAGATGACAATGACAATGACAATGACAATGACAATGACAATGACAATAACCAGAAACATTATATTTTCACCATAATAATAATCAATACCAATAGATACCTACCTAGTAGATAATAAAAAACCACACAACACAACAAGGTTTTGGTTTTCATTCGATATCATATCCCCCAAACCCAAAACTTCACTCCCTCCCGTTCATCTGAAATTTCATCCGCACAAAGGATCTCTGAAAAGTCTGAAAGAAAAAACAAAAGGTCAAAGTTACAATAGAAGCTAAGACTCTCTGCTCAAACAACTATTGTGTGAAGGATTGATAGAGAATCTTTCCCCAGATCATTATAGTATATTATATCATAGCATATCATCAATATACCTAGAGTAGTCTCCATCAATTTATGTATCTATAGAGTATTAATAATAAGTATGTATTATGATCTACTTTATCCATCTCTCTCTCTCTCTCTCACACCAACTCACTAACTAGATGGGTAATTCCACAAAACACATCAGTCATCAAGAAACCATTCATTATCTAACACTTTCCACACTCTCCAAGACACACACACTCTCTCTCTCTCTCTCTCTCTCCACCAGCTCTCTCTCTCTCGCTCGCTCTCTATTTTCCAAAACCTTCACATTTCAAGACTCAAGACTCAAGACTCAAGATGGACAATATCCCTGAACAGGAATAGGAAGAAAGTAAAAAATAGTACTGGAAATTACTCTCTCTCATCTCTATCATTACCTAAACCCCCCTAAACCCTACCACCCAGTGACCCAGCATCCACCACCCAATCCCTCCACCCATGATGGCCGAAATTGCCAAGCCTTTACATGCACGAAATCCGTCCACAGCAGAGTTCAAACGACCAGGGTACACCTATTCGGAGATGCAGAGGAAAATGAACAAATAATTCAATCTTTTCTCCATTTGTCCTCTTAAGCTTTTAATTCCCGTGTTCATCATCATCATCATTTTAAATTGTCTGTAACTCGTGAAACAGTCACTTCAACTTAAGCAGTCACTTCAAACCAGTCTATGTTTGTGCGCTTCACGTTAGGCTGTGTAGGATAGAGCGTGCATCATCAACATGCATCACTGGCAATTCATATGTGTTGGAGGGGCACGATAATGCAACCATTAGGTAGGTAGCTAAAAAGAGGGGAGATTTGTGCTAGGTCGGCGTTCCATCGGCCCATGTTGGTGGGATGATGAGTGATTCCCTCATGGTCACCTATTTTGGGCCGACCCCAGATTACTACACGCGACTAACAATAACTGTCCCCAGCCCTTTGTTGGCTTCACGTTAGAGACCACTGGACAGAGCAATCGCGACGTTTGGGACCATTCCTTCAGATCTATCAGGAGACGAACAGGCCAAGGAGGGGGCGAAGCATAGTAATGTCCATGTTGATTACATCGAAATTACTAAATCTTGGAATTTGTGCCTTGTCTAAGAGCTTCCCTCTTGTCATTCAATGAAGAAAATTGCTTGTGAATTGTTATCAATCTGTTTTCTATATTTAACATGTTAGCTTAGTGCACTTTGATGGCGGGCATTGGAAATACTCACTTTATTGGACATGTCCCGTTTCCTCCACGCAAGTTGTTTTCTTGACGTGCTTATGAAGCACCGTCGTTTTCTTCATTTATCTTCCCTCAACTAAATTAGGCTAAACGAATTAAGTAAGGAGATCCGCAACATTCATTGGCATCTCATCGATTTGAGTAGAGTAGTACACTGTTTCAAACATATTAGCACTGCGCGGCAGGATTCAAGGAGGGGAAATACTTACACTCAATATCTCTCAAAATCCTAACATCTTCACTGGTCACAAAATTGATCGCAACTCCCTTTCTTCCGAATCTACCACTTCGACCAATGCGATGAATATAGTTCTCACGGTTAACTGGCAAGTCATAATTGATGACCAATGAAACTTGTTGAACGTCAATTCCACGAGCCCAAACATCTGTAGAAATCAACACTCTAGAATTTCCTTGGCGGAAATCTTGCATAATGCTATCTCTTTCCTTTTGAGGCATCTCTCCGTGCATAGAGGATACAGTAAAGTTGGCCTCGCGCATCTTATCGGTCAACCAATCAACCTTTCTTCTTGTGTTGCAAAAGATAACGGCTTGAGTAATAGTGAGGGTATCGTATAAATCGCAAAGTGTATCGAATTTCCAATCTTCTTTCTCCACAGCAATAAAGTATTGTTTCAAACCTTCCAAAGTCAACTCATCACGCTTGACGAGGATACGGACAGGGTCGGTCATAAATTTCGTAGTCATGTCAAGAACATCGTATGGGAGGGTAGCGGAAACGACAACGACTTGTGTCGCAGGTGGGAGGTAACGGTAGACATCGTAAATCTGCTCCCTGAATCCACGGTTTAATAACTCATCGGCTTCATCAAGAACCAACATCTTGATATGACGAGTGCGGAGGTTTCGTCGACGAATCATATCAGCAACACGACCTGGTGTTCCAGAAACAATATGTTGTCCGTAATCTAGCTTGCGGATATCCTCTCCAACGTTGGTACCTCCAATACAAGCGTGGCATTGTACATTCATGTAGTCTCCCAAGGCCATGACAACGGATTGAATTTGGGTCGCAAGTTCTCGAGTAGGTGATAGAACCAAGGCTTGAGTTTCGCGGACAGCTGTATCGATGACTTGAAGCATACTGATAGAGAAGGTTGCAGTTTTACCAGTACCAGATTGGGCTTGAGCAATAGTGTCGCGACCTTTGCAAATTTGAACAATCGCGCGGGATTGAACAGCTGAAGGGGATTCGTAACCATATGCATAGATACCACGGAGTAAGTTCTCTATATGACTGTAAGCCTGATGACCATATCCATATACACATAAACATACCCTTGAGATGCATATCCTGGAAAGTTGGAGCGACCGTGACATCTGCAGAAGTTGTAAACTCCATGCGATCATCCATCTTTCTATCAATTCCTTCGGCCATGATTGCGGTTTAGTTTTATCCTTTCGTATTGAGATTGAGGTCGATGGTTGAAATCCCAAATTTATCTGTTAGCAAGTTATTGAGGTTACTCCACCTTCACAAGATGCGACAAAGCTCTGAAATTTTAGCGTCAAAAATTAAAGTTAGCGGATGTACGTGGATTCACGCGAAATGATTGGTTGGCGCAAAAAGTTCAAGAGCCTGAACTAGAATCATCAAAAACAACCTGTACATCTATCTATCTATCCATCGTGTTGTTGATTTTCCTCTATCAATCTTATCAACCTCCAACGGCAGGAACAAAATCACAACTGATAGTCGATTTGATACCAATCCTTCAAAATGATATTAGAAGAGCAAAGATTCCTCCATGAGGATCTTGAAAGGCTTGAGCAAGGTATCGCTGATAGAGTAGCTGAAGATCCAAAACAGGTAAGAATTGAAGCTATTTGCCTTTCTTCAGTCAACCATTCTAATTATTATCAAGGTTCGAGAACGGTTGAATCGAGATCATCAAATTGGGCACTTCCTAGATCGAATTCAAGATCAGTCCAAACGTTTACTAGACATATACAAAGATGTAGATGGAGTACGAAGCAAAGAAATTCAATCCATATCGACGGGCGAACCACTGGAAGAATTCTACAAACAGCTCGGGGAAATCAAGAGTTTCCATCAAAGATACCCGAATGAACCTGTTGAGAACCTCGAAAAGGCTTACAAGAAGAAAGCACCTATGGAAGGGGAGACTGCTACATCAGAAATTGACAACATGTTCACAGGAGAGGAAGCATTTGGACGATTCCTAGATCTCACTACTATTCACGAATTATTCTTAAATCTCCCCAATATCAAACGTCTTTCCTATTTACAATATCTGGACAATTTCGATTCATTCGCGCCTCCAACATGTCCCGTGAAACGCCCAGATAAGATGACCGATCAATACTTCGCATACGTTGGGGAGCTAGCAAACTATCTGGAAAGCTTCATGCGCCGAACAAGGCCATTGGAGAATTTGGATAAATTGTTTGCGAGTGTTGAGGAGGATTTCGAAAAGGCTTGGAAAGATAATGATGTTCCCGGATGGAAGCTTGAGATTACAGCACCCGTGAATGGATCAAGTGCATCGGGAATATGGTGCGCAGATTGTGAGAAGGAGTTTAAGAACGAAAATGTATACAAGGGTCATCTCCCAGGAAAGAAGCACGTTCGAGCCGCAGAAGCGCGAGCAGTGCGAATGGCCGAAACAGGAGAGGACAGCAATGGTGCCATACAACCAACATCATCCACATCTCGCCTGAAGGAACGTGCAATAGCGGAGCGAGAATACAGAGTAAGGCGTCTCGCTGCTGCCATGACACAAGAGAGAAGTGACACAAGAGTCAACGTCGAACGAAAGCAAGGTATGACCGAACGTGAACGACAAATGGAGCTTGATGCGTTGTTTGCCGAGTCATCATCTGCAACACCTCGAGATGGAGATTCAGACAGTGAGTCAGACAGTGATGACAAGGTTTACAACCCATTGAAGCTGCCGCTGGCCTGGGATGGTAAACCTATTCCTTTCTGGCTTTACAAACTCCATGGACTCGGTGTTGAGTTCAAATGTGAGATTTGTGGAAATTATGTTTACATGGGCAGAAGAGCTTTTGACAAGCATTTCAATGAGGCTCGTCACATTTATGGCTTGAAGTGCTTGGGTATTACGAATACCACATTATTCCGCGAGATCACTGGAATTGAAGACGCGTTGAAGCTGTGGGATAAATTGCAAAGGGAAAAGAAGAGGGGAAAGACTGAAGAAACTGGTGTTGTTCAAATGGAGGATGCAGAGGGAAACGTTATGCCTGAGAAGGTTTACTATGATTTACAAAAGCAAGGATTGCTATAGGCAAATGGATTAATGGCGTCAGTCAGGGTGTATAATAAGAATGCATGTATCATACCCATTACAAAGAAGATTACGAGATGTCTCACTTCATAATGGATAACTTTATCTGTTTCAATTATAAAATCGTTCCTGTTTTGGAACGCTTGCTCTTCTTAAGGGGCGGTACGAGCGAGCGGTCTTCGCCGATGTAGGATATTGAAAATAGGCAACTTAGTACCAGTGATGCTATCAAGTACTAGCACCACTGAATTGGCACTAATATTATAGTCTGAACTGCCAAGCCCTCTAGGCATGCATAATTTTCTTCCAAATCATAAAGAGAAAAGCAATACATCAACTTACATAACGACTTTCTTGCATTCTTGTTAGCTTCTCTCCGTCGCCCTAGTATTCTTCCAATGATTTCCTTCGTGTATCCTATCCCGCTTCTGGCTCTCAACAGATTCCGATTCTATCACGTCCCCTGCGGGCTCTGGTGGATACTAATATCCTTCCACTTGAATAAAGATCTCGTTTCAAACATGCGTTCAAAATGCATCAAGATTCAAAGCGAATAGATCTTGAAGGGCATGTTGAACAGAGATTTATCTAATGTAATGACATACGCAAAATATGTGTATCATTGTACACAATGAGGTATACCAAATGTTTTACACTCTCACTTTTTGTTATATGTTAAGCCATCTGTCCAGATGCACTGGTGTGCTGGGCGTTGTTGTTCGTCTTCAATTCTTAGAGGACAGAAGAGCGGGATGAGTATTTTATAAGTATTTCCACTTCACGTGGATGAGATCCTACTACTATTTCATCCATGAGATTCTGACGGGGTAGGACACTCGAGTTTTATATTTCATTGGGCTAGTAAGTTCCATGCGCAAAGATGTCGCATTTAAGCACTTATGTCAAAATTCTATTGCCATGCTCGCAAGATCATTCCCTTCATATTATATTTAATATACGTATCTAAGGCTACTATATTTTAGTTTGCCATTCTGATTCATCCTCAACATCATCGCTGAAGAGATGCAATCTCGACGATCGCAATCTCCATATTAAATCCAACGCAAGCTTCAAGTCAACTCCACCACTTAATCGAATGAATAAACAATGCTCCCATAAGTAATAAATTCCATTTAGTAACTCCCACCAAAACAATTCCTCTCAACATCGTGTTCCTCATGCAACCCTGATCATCGTTCGCATTCTTCCCGAATCATTTTCCTCGGCACATTGTCCACAGCCACATCCAGCATTGCTGAACCACTTCATCAAATTAATACGAGTAATCATTCTTTTATGACTCATGGCCCCATCTTCTGTTTGTCCAATGGCTAATTTGGGGTGTTTTTCGATCTCCTCAGGGCTGTAACCGCCCATAGGGTCACCCACATAACTAATCGTCAACTCTTCACCTGCTTTAATATCTCTGATGGCTCTGCAACTCACGCTACTACTTCCAGGTTTAAGCACCTCCTGGTTTGGTCCGTCTCCAGCTAGGAGTGCCGATATGTCCTGAGCTCCGTTTAAACATGTACCATTCCACATCACGTTGTATCTGCAACTATGGTTGAAGAACGAATAGTTAGGACTGATTACGATCAAGTGCACCATTGTAGGTCCCGAGTTGGGCGTACGAGTGGAACGGAATGATTCATCTAGTTGGAGGCCAGAAATGTCAATTTTGCTATTATTAGCGTTGTTAAGCATGCGCCAGTATATGGTCTGGATTAGCTCCGGAGTCCAGATGTTGGCCAGAAGCTTGATTTTGCCTTCGTGTATCTTCTTGACTGGAGAAAAAATATCAATGCCGAGATCACTTAGAATGCGGGTAGGTGCGACTATGTTCTCCTGGTAGGACCAATTTTGGCCACGAACAACTTGTTCGTCATCACTGGCGTAATTAGCTGTCAACCTCGCCAGCAGCGGGTGTTGCAAAGGGTTCTTCTGAGGGGTCGAATCTTTTGACCAGCCAGGTGTGCTTAGAACGATACACATTACGCGTAAAAACATCCTAGGGTCCCATTCAGTTCGAGACGCGCCAGTTTTGTAGAGCCAGGTGAGATCGATACCACACTGAATCTTATGATAACCCCCGATGGCAAGATCATGACAGCCTCTGGAGCAGAACGATATGTCACATCCGCATGATGGTCGACAGATCTGAGCTGGTTGTACGAAAGGGGGAGCGAGGTGAGCATGACATGCGTCACAGAATTGTCCAGTCGAAGGTGGGATATTGGAGACACATGCGTATGACTTATCGACTAGAATGGATTCTCCTTCCTCGATGTCGCGTGTGGCGAAAATACCTAGAGGTCCAACATCTGCGTTCTTAGGAAAATCAGAAAGCGATTTAGATTTTGATGCTATACCTGGAGATCCGAAGACCACAGGTCGGACTTCTGCGTTGAGAACACCAAATGTAGAGTTGACTTGTCTGACCAAACGGGGTGTTCGGACAAAAAGCTTTGGAGCCATCCACGGGTATTTTTTCTGGTAAATCGATCCTGGTCTACTACTTGCAATGATGTTGTCAACTGACCCATTCTTGGCGTCTTCCACTATTTCTTCATGTCTATTCTGGAAAGATCCCAACAATAAATCTTGAAGATCAAGTAATTCATAATCGTCAGGAAAATCCTCCAGACCAAGTTTGACCACCGTCAAGCCATCCCAAAATGCCGCACAATGCAGTAGACCTTGGACCAGACAACGATAAGCCTGAAGACACATCGATTGTAGTTCGTCAATAATAATTACTGTCGAGCTCGTGTAAAGCCGAGTCGCAACAGCGGTATATACTAAGCGGGAGAGCTCAGATTGTTGAGGAGTGATGGTTTGAAGACCAGCCTTGATAAGAATAAGAGCGCGATACGCATAATGGGACGAGGTGTCCTTGAAGGCAAGGTTGGCGTCAAGGTTGACAAGACGAATGTAAATCAAGGGATCATGAGGCGCAATAGTCATGTCATGAATAAGTGCCTTGCGGTAGAGAATGAGACCGTCGAGTTGATTCTGTTGAGTGAATAGTTAGTTACCGCATTCAATATTCTGTGTGAAACTTGCCTTCTTCTGAAGTTCGATGGATTTCTCAGTGATGAGATCAAAGTCACATGTTCCAGTCCACTCGTGACGAATTTTAAACTTTTCGACGTCTCCTTCGATGGTGCTAGGTACATATTCCATTTGAGAGGCTTCAGTCACAGCAGGGCAGCTAGCGCTATGGATGGCTTCGATTGGATCAACTGAGACTGTAGGAGCCGTATCAGGATTGATTGAAGAGGATATCATTGCTTCAGTGAGTTCTGGTTGTGCAAAAGCCATTGATGATAGCTCCTCCGCGGCTTTCCCGGGCGATTCGATGTCTGTTGAGTCCACCGATGGAGACAATTCCTTTGCGGGATCTCCGTCGACCACTTCGATGCGATCAACTCCTGGCTTTTCAATTGTCTCCTTGTTCTCTTCAACTTCCGGTTCATTTCCAGTAACAACTTGAGAAGCGGTATCTTTCCATAATGGGGAAGCAAGTTTGATCACCTTCTTAGGCTTGGTCTTGCACTTGGGAGTAGGCTCTTCGTCATAAAGCGACGCAAATACCGACGCCACTTTCCTCTTGAACTTCTCGGGGCTCGAGGTTCGAATAACGAGGGGAGATGGACTTGACATAATGGCTTCATGGTCACGTGGAGAGGTAGGAGGAGTGTCGATGAAGTCGACTTTGTTAGGAGAAAATGGAATGGTGGGCTCGGACATTTTTTATGTAATTTCCGTAAAAATGATATGGTGGGAGTGAATTTGTAGATGGTCAAATGACCAGATGAAGAAGAATGGTCGTGGTGTTTGCTAATAATACGAGTGGAAAAGATGATTTAGGCAGTTGGAGTAGGCCTAAATAGAAGTGGATTAGATATAGCTCAATGAAGAAATGCAAGATGGTGCTAAGGTAGCAAACAGCGAAAGAAAGATTTTAAATACAAATACAATATGAACGTAGGTGTTTGTGACCAACCTTCTGTTTGCAATGAAGCGAGGGAGCTGCAGAACGCAGGTATCCTTAACTGCTGGCCAACGGGGGCTGGTGGGAGTAACAAAACAACAAGAGATAAGAGGTTTAAGAATCGAATAGCGCAATGGTAAGGATGAAGACGGTGAGAATATAGGTATCTTGAAATGAGGTCTGGTAGTAATTGTTTGGATAAAGTATCGTAAAGTATGGGTAAGGATAAGTGCTCAAGTTGTTCTTCTGTCTCGAAGACTTCTGGGTGTTACAATGTGGTTTGCTTCTTAAGACTCATGCCCTCTCAGGGTGAAAGCCGATCCTTAAATAGAGGCTTGGGAAATTTTAGAGAGGAGGGAGGAGGGCATGGAAGTGGGGTTGAAGAGAATCACTGGAATCCTGATTCACCGTAATCAACGGAGTGATTACATCCCCGCTATTTTGGCTGTGATAGTGTTGACAATGGTGACAGCAGCATAAGCATAGACCAAAAGGACAACAGCAAGACATAAGCTCAAACTATTGGCATTACCAAGAACTATCTAAGAGATGATATATATGAAATGATAGTAAAAAATATGGAAAATCGTCATCTCATAGTGTTGCACGGCTAAATATTCAATGACTGGGCGTACTCACTCGAGTAGAAGCCACGGGCGACTAGGATGACACTAGCAAGACTCTCCTTGTTTAAGCGACAATGGCATCAAGAAATTTCGACAGTAAAAGAGTCCACCAAATATTGCTCCACCGCAGCCACAATAAAAATTTGTGGTGTCAAATAAAAGGCATCCAAATTGTAGCAACATTTGAACCTTGGACCCCTTGTGGTGTCATTTTCAACAGGGAAAATGTGTCTTCAGAAGCGCGTACTCATCCGCACTAGCAATAGAGCGGGACATGGAGTACTAATGTGCAATCAACCATCGATTGCCCGTCGCCAGATCTCAGTAACACTAGACACAAGTCTTGTTGAATACCATCGCACTTTGCAATAAATACATATGACGACGACTGCTAAAGTGACTTTTGAACGAGATATTTTTCCTTCTCACCAGAGCTCAAAGCCTTAATCAAATGATCATATGAAACGAGACATTGCGAAATAATAAGGCATATGTAAATAATATTGCGCTTCATTCAAAAGGGCCAAGAGAAACTTACCTTCGTTAAATCCGCTCAATCAAACCATGATCGATCGACAAATCGATAAGGTGAATAAGTGCGAAAATGTTGTCAAACTTCAGAAGAGTGTGCAGATAGTTGTATTTTCTTGACCATTTGAGTGACAGCGCAAGTCGAATAGAAAAATCAAGTTTATGATAGAAATTTTGGAGGTTTAGAATGAATGCCATACGACAGCAAGAATTAAGATGGATGTGATTGTCGAAGACCACAATCCTGTATGTGAAACTACTTAGCAAGAGACGCTACTAAGCGATATTTAGATCTGCAAATGGCGAGAACTTGTCTTGTTGCTAGTCCCCCCATGTTGTGAGATTGATAGGGTAGTAGTGAGGCAAAAGCATCCCAGCGTCGAAAGTGAGCTTGAACCATAAGGCTCACTCTTCATTTTGGAGGTGAAACCCCATTGATATTGGCAGAAGTAGACCACAATTCAAAAGTCAAAAGAAGTTCCTGCCACAATTCGCTTTTGACATAAGATCTTGTGGAAATAAAACCTTCGAACTGTATTTGCTGTTGTACTTAGGAGAAATTAATTGCTCGCAAGTTTGGTTCCACGTTGGAGATATAAGATCTGTTCCATGATATTGGAATTTAGAAACTTCAATGGATCATAGATTCTTTTCTTGAGAATCCTGAATGGATGCAAAATAGCTTCGCATCATTTTGCAGTCAACGCTTATTTGTAGAGAAATAAAGCTGAGGAGCATTTCCAGGCTCTATGATGTGCGTTGAGGGGAAAGAGCAGTATGTAATACTGGCTCACAGTAAGAACTCCGAAAGGGATATCGGAAGCTCGAATGAGAAAACAAACACGTTTCTCGGGACACGTTGTTGTGCAGTCAGATTACCCAGAGCCTGGCGGGTCGGCTCAACCTCCTTCCGGTTAGGGCTCTCTAAAATGTGCTTGAAGTACTAATAAGTAACTTCACCAGTCAAGATCGCACGAGAGTAGATTCACTGATAAATATGCAGTACTTCATCCCCTGTCCAGTGGTTTTTGAGATTTCACTGCAATCAATATTGGTGAGTGAAGCTGCAGTCGTTTGGTTCCATGAGTGACAAGCCATTGCACATGTCTAGTTGAAAGATTCAATTCCTAAGAGAATATCTTCGCATACAATGGTAGCTCAAAGTTTCCAGACAAGCAATGGAACTTCAATATGGTTATAGTGTCAATACCGACATAGGAATCACAACACACCGCAAGAGGGAGCATGGGAAAACCGCGATGGTCTTATTTCGAAAAGTGCAGGAATTACACCAGAATTAAATCTACGCAAAGCGCATGGCATTCGAAAGTAGAGAGAACTAGATAAGTTGAGTCGGTGACTGTTGCTCCTAGGTACATGGTTCCTCCAAACTACCTTTTTTTTGATTATGATGTTGAATCTTAAATCTTGGCCTTCTCATTGGGCAACCAGACACTCTGTGCATTACACCAATGTTTCAATCCCACTAAACCCCATGTCATTCCAATACCGCTATTCTTGAACCCCCCAAATGGAACTTTCGCGCTAAGATAAAAGTGAGCATTCACCCACACACTTCCAGCTTGTAATTCCCGAGCCATCTTCTCAGCTCGCTTAATATCTTTGCTCCAGACCGACGCCCCCAATCCTGTATTGGTATCATTGACTCTGTCTATAATATCCTCATCTGAACCACTCCATTTGAGAACAGGGAAAATGGGACCGAAAGGCTCGAGTTGCACGATTCTTTCGGTGTCGGGCGGGTTATCAATGATGGTTGGATTGACAAAATAACCTTTGCTCAATGTATCGTTCGATTTAATGCTATCATTTGAACCCCCAAGAGCGACTTTAAGCCCATTCTTTGTGATGTCATCGTAGAAAGTCTGAACGGTGTCCATTTGCGCTTTACTCTGCAACGGGCCCACCCAGCTTGTGGGATCAGCTCCAGGCCCAACTTTTAGCTTAGGAATATAAGCTACGAGAGCTGACATGAACTCGTCGTAAATGTCTGCATGGACGTAAAGACGCTTTATGTCCATGCAAATTTGACCAGAATTCAGTAATGCGAGATGGGCGACCTAGTTCAAGTGTTGATTAGCTCCGTTTGGGGTGAGAAAATAGCATCGTCAGGACCAAACTATCATACTTGGCTTCGATTCCTTTATAGGTTGATTATATCGAATCAAGCATTTCAGGAGCATGGCTGCTAGCCAACCTCCGAAGACAGAAAGTAAAATTCAATGAAAAAACAATCTCTGACATACCTGGGGAACCATATTTGCGATATCAACATCCTCACATACAATACACGAGTCATTTCCACCTAACTCTAAGGTAACTCGCTTCAACGTTTTAGAACAGCTCTCCATAACCTTTTTACCCGTTGCGATGCTCCCAGTAAATGCAATTTTGTCAATCCCAGGATGAATAGTACACATAGGTCCGAATTCGTGCCCACCGCTCAAGGCCTGCACTACTCCTGGAGGAAAGAATTTGTTTGCAAGTTCCACAATCTTAAGTCCACAATATGGCGTATCAGGACTGGGCTTCATAATAATTGCATTCCCGGCCCACACCGAAGGCACTAGCTTTCCCATCGCAAGCAGAATCGGGTAGTTCCAAGGCACGATTCCACATGTTACTCCAATCGGGACGTATCTCACACTTGCGACCATGGTATCGGTCTCTTCAACGACTTCTTCGGTAAGCAAGAGCTCGGTGGTTTCTCGAATCATGGCCAAACCGCGAGCAAACTCATCATGAGCGAGAAATCCTGCCTTCCCTTGTTCCATGATGACCAGGTCAACGAATTCTGATTCGTAGGATGCGAATGCATCAGCGAATGCAAGGATGATAGCGCGACGCTCAGTGATAGAGGTACGAGCCCAGGACTTTTGAGCTATCTTCGCTGCACGCACAGCTTCATCAAGTTCCGTGATGGTAGAGAGTGGAACTGCAGGATTGGGCTCGCCGGTAGCTGGATTGATGCTATGTCTATTTTGTGCTGTTTTGCACGATTTGCCATCAATTGTGTTTTGAAATGTCTGGAGTGCTGTTAGCTAAATATCTCGCCATCAACTCCAATGATAACCACATGAAATTTGATCTCACCACAAAGTCCATCCTCTTCTCTGTATTATTTAACGCCATTTTGAATTCAAACAATAAAATTGTGCAGTTCAATTGGAGTTCCAATCGCAAACTCAACGCAAATGCAATCAACAAACCATCAATACTCGAATGGAAAAGCTCACGATTTAAGCCAATTCAGCGAGTGCTTATTACCCCTCATTTGAGCACATTTTTATGTATCACCCAAAAGTCCTTATCAGCTATTTCTCAGCTGAACATTTCTTGTGACATTTGGTGGTGAGACAAAGCGAGGTTGTAATTGGCCCCTAGCATTCCCCGCACGACTGTGTACTCGGGCCAAGTTACCCACAATGAATACAACAGTACTAAAAAGGCCATAAATTTGGTGGTGTAGCAATGTTTAGGCACGATGGGAACCGCTTGTGTGCGGGAAGACTGCCACTAGGTAAAATCTATGTCAAACTGCCCGTCTGCGGTGTAATTGAAGCCTTTCAACATAACAC